ATTAGGTTTATATGTTCACATACCATCAGCCATCCTGTGTGTAGTCTCTTTGTGTGTTTCACAGCAGTTAGGCTCCATCCCCTCTCTCTCTCTCTCATTCACCTGGCAATCATCTGATGTCATTAGACCACGTCCCTCAAACTTTCTGGCCAATCACGAGCTATGGAAGTTGAACCAGGAAGTAAGATTCAGCAGCCTTGTGCATGGAGAAAGGCAGATCCCACTGGATGTTAACTCTGGATGAGTGCACATACTGCATGGTGTACCCAACTCCCCCTCCCAGTCTGTGTTCTGATTTAGAGCGTCAAACTGCAGCCATTACCAGTCAAAATAAATAACAACACAGTCAATCACTTACTATGCCATTCCAATAATGTATTTTTTTGTGTCAGTACGACCACACGCCCTGTTTCTTCTATTGAGGACATGCACACAACACTTTGAGTGACTCTGGGGTTACATTTACATTGTATACTGTGAAGGACTCCCTCAAGGTTTCTTGTGGCACCAGTATTCAACTACTGGCATTCTATGCTCCAGGACTCTGCATCACAGTTGTACACCTCTTGTACACATTTGAGTACAGTGCAGAGGTTTGTGTAAGATGCCCTGGGATCCTCCATAGAACACATTTTGCAACATGCAAGATGTCCCACAACTATCACTAGCAGTGGATGCTGGGAAGTGTCTAAACTTAATGGCAGAGGCTGTGCCTTTTGACAGCTTCGGGTTTTGACTACAAGTTAAATTAGTCCTAACTTTGTTGTGATAGCTGCTTCAAAGTGAAATAAAATCAGAAATGTCATCTCCAACATCAATCACTACATGATGAAATTACCAGGTGGAAACAATTTAAACACCATTCTACTAGCAATGGTTAAAAAAAAAAATGAAATCAATTCATAGCCCTAAATAAAGCAGCAATAACAGTAAATAAAGTGTTTAATTGCGGTAACGCAGTATGGGCGCTTTTATTTGATTTTTCCAAGATCCATTTGCTTATAGAACTGCAGTTGTAAGACAACTTGGACAAGTATGAAGACTTGCATTGCACCACTACAGTGTAACTGTATCTTTACAATAACTGCTACAATTACCAACAAGAGCGATACATCTAGTAGATTTATTGGTCACTGTCTATGAACAGTAATTAAATTGTGTATACAATTAAGTCCAAAAGAGACAAAGTACCAAATAACTCTTCTCCTGAGTGGAGGTTAACCCCTAGTGAAAGAAAATTCACTAATAAGGCACAAAGACAAGGAGAGCAGGAGAAACAGGATTCATATAGAGCAGGCATAGGCAACCTTTGGCACTCCAGATGTTTTGAACTACACCTCCCATAATACTTTGCCATTATTATGGGTGTAAGAGCATTATGAGGGATGTAGTCCACAACATCTGGAGTGCCTGATATAGAGTATCCTAAGGAATGGGCTTCCCAACTGATAATGGGAAACAAAATAGGGTACATACGGGAACATAAAGTACAACCTCTAAGGGTAGGTATTAAAACTTAACTTTTAATAGGATAATGAATAAATATGGTGAAAAACACCACCAAGAACAAGTGTGTATAAATAGGTGTACTAATACAAGCAACACCTGTCAGAGACTAACAGCAAGATACTCAACTTGAGTATGGGGATTATTGTATAAATTGTGCGTCGGTACAATTGCAGAAAATATCTGGGAAAAGGAATGCCCACTACTATCTGGTGAGAAAATATTCTCAGCGGGGTTAGGTCAGCACATGTCTTCGACTAGCAACAAATGAAGCACAACTTAGTATGTGGATTGCTGTCTAAACTGTGCGTCAAGACCACGGTTCATGATAATGTTAAGAAAAGGATGTACCCCAGAGTAAGTGTAAAGGGAAGTCTCTGTGAGGTAAAAACAAGGTATAAATGGATCTCTTATTGATTGTCTGATAGCGTCAAATAAGTGCAGTATATGCACGGTGGTTCCTGAATCAATGTTTTCCCTTTTGGGATTTTGCTTGACGCTGGATACCAATGACGGTTTAACCCCTTGAAGTAAGAGTTTGCCTGGGGTCTCCTGGCACCAAAACAACTTACTTTAGATGCTGTTGTTATGGTGCCTAAACTGTCCCTTTAATACAAGCTCCTAGCAGGAACTTCCAGCTCTCAGGGGCCAGTGCCATGTGCACCCCAGATATAAAGCCATATAGAAGCTCTATAGTGATGCATTGAGTGTTCCTTTAACCCCTTAAGGACACATGACATGTATGACATGTCATGATTCCCTTTTATTCCAGAAGTTTGGTCCTTAAGGGATTAGAGAGAATAAAATACAAGAGGCGTATTCTTTATAATAAGTATCAGGAATGAACTGTGAATTTAAAATTTTAGTCCAGATAGTCAAACAAATATGCATAGCTAACATGGAATATTATCACCCAATATAACTATTCTTTCAAATAGTTTTTTAAATACATTTTTCAATAACAATAAGAAGAGAAAAATATTATAACAAAAAAATGGGCGGATACAATGATAACTATCATCCAATAATACATTTTAAGTGTATATAAAAGCAGTACTATAATGTTAATATTATTTATAAAGCACCAACAAATTCTGCAGCGCTGTACAGTGGGTGGACTAACAGACACATGTTTGTAACCAGACAAGTTGGACACACAGGAACAGAGGGGCCCTGCTCAATTAACTTACATGCTAGAGGGAGTGGGGTATAGTGACACAAAAGGTAAGGGTAGAAAAATAGGTTGCTAGGATAGTATTCACTGAGTGCTTAGTGTTTTGATGACAGTTACAGGAGAGGAATCAGGGTTTTTTATGTTTTTCCATGTAGGGTGCGGGGAGGGAAAGCTGTTGACAGTTTAATTGATATGCTTTCCTGATTTTTTGAAGGAGTGGAGACTAACTGAAACTCTAATTGAGAGGGGAGGGGGGTTCCATAGGAATGGTGCAGCCCTAGAGAAGTCTTAAAGGCAAGCATCAGAGGTGGGAGTAGGAACACAGGTTAGACGTAGGCCTTTGGCAGAACGGATGGGCCTAGACGGGACATATTTATGTATTAGTGAGGATAGGTAGGTCAGAGCCTCATTTTGTACAGACTTGTAAGCAAGTGCCAGGATCTTAAATTGAGCGCTATATCTTACGGGAAGCCAATGTAGGGACTGATGGTGGTGGGTGGTGTGGAAGGTGCTGGCGGACAGAAAGATGAGTCTTGCCGCCGCATTCATTATAGACTGTAAGTGGGCAGATTGGGAACACGTAAAACCACTGAGATGGGGATTACAGTAGTCAAGGCGAGAGAGGACAGTGGCTTGGACAAGTTGTATCAATTGTTAAATAAGGGGCAGATGTGTGTTATGCTTTTGAAATAGAAGCACAGGATTTGGCAATTAATTGGACATGAGGAGAGGAAAGGGAGGTTGGAGTCAAAGAGAACACCTAGGCAGCGAGCCTGTGAGATAGAGCTGATGGTAGCGCCATTGACTTGGAGGTAAACAGCCAAGGGAGTAGCAACACTTGAGGGAGGGAAGGCCAGAAAGTCTGTTTTGGGCAGGTTAAGGAAATAAGCAGCCACCCAGTTGAAAACAGCAGAGAGGCAGTCAGAGATACGAGTCAAGAGGGGTGGTGAGAAATCAGGTGAGGACAGGTAAATTTGTGTATCTTCTGCGTAGAAATGATACTGGAAGCCGAAGGAGCTGATGAGTTTACCAAGAGAGGCAGTATAGATTGAGAACAATAGGGGACCAAGGACAGACCCTTGGTGAACACCAAACAGAGAGGGATTGTGGAGAAGAAGCAGAGCCAGAGAATAAAACACTGAAAGAGCGGTGTCTCATAGACCGAGATTACAGAGGATGAGAAGAAGCTGTTCAAAAGTGTGAGAAACAACAGAAAGGTCAAGGAGATTTAGGATCGAGTAGTGGCCACAGGATTTTGCAGTGATAAGTTCACTGGATACTTAACAGAGTCCAGATCGAAGCGTGTCAAGCAGAGAGTTGGGTTCAATTAAGTCTGTCAATCTTGCATACACAACTTTCCGAAGGATCTTGGAGGCAAACGGCAGTATTGAGGCAAGGCGGTAGTTGGACGGGAAATTAGGGTCAAGGTTGGGCTTTTTCAGAATTGGGGTTACGGTTGCATGTCTGAACGGTGAGAGACAGAGCAAGAGAAGGAGACAAAATGTGGATGAGATACAAGAAAATAGAATCGAGGAAACAGGTGGTGGGGCGGGAGGACCGGAGCAGAGAAGAAACCTCTTCTGTTGTAGTGGGTGCAAATGAGCACAGGACAGCGAAGGGAGTGTGGTTAGGAGAAATGTTCATAGTGAATGGAGAGAAAGCTCTTCCCTGATTGTAGAAATCTTCTCATTAAAGTGAGTTGCAAAGTTTGTGGCGGTGAAGTTGGTAGTAATATATAACAGTAGTAAAATTATAATATCATATGTGTCTTAAAAAGTTGGTATATTTATTAAAGAATAAAATCAACACAATATTTTAATATCAGGTCTGGTGCAGGTCTAATGAAAAACTTATACGCCATACTCTAACTACTTTGATCTAAAATTTGCCCCCCCCCCCCATTAACTCCTTATTCAATGAATAACCCTGTCTCATTAAGCGAGGTCCCGTTCGAGATACAACTCAGACAGTGGGTAAATAGAGCTCCACGTCCAGACAGCAACACGTGACACGACCGCTCTCACAGCGCCCCCTGGTCTCCGACAGACACATAGCAAGCGCACACTCCACGCGGAAACACAGCGCGCACGCGCAGTGTTTCCCACGCGTTCGTCACGGCTGGGGGGGGTGTGGGGGGCGTGGCGAAGCAGCGCCTCTGGAAAAAAAAACAAAAAAACCCGCCTTTCTCAGGCCGCGCACGCGCGTCCCAGCCCAGAAGATTTGTTTAAATCGCGCGAGTGCGTCGCGCAAGGTGACGGTGGGAATGTACGCACGCGCAGGCGTGTAGCGCGCGTCTGATTGGTCGAGCCGCGCATGCGCCGTAGGTTCTGACCCGGATGCGCATGTGCCAATAGCTAAAGGACCCACTGCCAACCCAACCCCCCCCCCCAAGCCCCTCAGAGCGGGCCGAGGCTTTGGACGCAAACGGAACCGGGTCACCGGAGAAGAAGTTCGCCCGCGATATCGGCCAGGTACGGGCTATTAGCCGAGCTCCCCTGCGGTTCCTCTCCGCCCCGTGACGCGCGCTCTGTGGGAAGCTGTGTGTGGAGAGTCCAGTCAGAGAGTAATTGGGGTGTAGGGTAGCATGGAGCTGGACTCTCACACTGACTGCCTGGGAGCCAGGAGGACCAGTAACTGTTACTACAGGCTACGAGCTGGGCTTTGGCGCCATGGCTGTAATACTACACTTCCCATGACTCCCAGCTGGCGCTCTGACCGCGGAGCATCATGGGAAATGCAGGGCAGCTGGAGGGATGCTATAGTTACCGTCTGACTGGTCACCATGGCGACAGGAATGGGAGAATGTGGGTACACCACCACCACCAGCAGCAGCTGCTGCTCTGAAACTCCCACAATGCTGTGCGAGCCATATCAGATCTGATTATTATTGGCATGGATATAGTGACAACTTATTCCCAGGTGCCTTCCTGTATTAGTAAAAGGGACACTGTAGGTGTCATGATAATTCTTCTTCTCAACTAAGTGGTTATGGTGTCTGGAGTCCCCTGGAACCATCTTTCCTGTCTGCATTAAACAGTTTTTTGTTTTTATGTTTTAATGCTAAACGAGAGTCCCCAGCCACCCATCCTCTGCTGCTTGAACTAATGAGAAAGTATTAGCCTGAGCAGCAATGGGTGTCTGTGATTGGCTGAGAGTGAGAGTCATTCAGCCTCTTTCAGAGAAATTACAAGTATGAATTGGTAAAAGCTCTGCCTAAGCCATACATCCAGTGGGTAGCCAGGGACTCTCATTCAGTGTTAAACTGGTCTAAAATGATTTAACAGTGGTTGGATGGACAGTGCACCGGGGACTCCAGGCACTTTAACCAATTTTAATAAGCTTTTTTTGATTAGAGTGCCCCTTGAAGGGGACTTTAATAACAAATGAAACAATCTAATAGAAATTTTAGGAACGATAGGTTAATGAGGACCCTACTTAAATGAGCTTGCAATGCTTTAAGGATCATTGGAGAGGTCATTTGATGTAAGTGTTGTACTACTCTTTCGTGAGGCACTAGTGAGGTATTTTTATTTTTTATATATATTTTTTTAAATAACCAATAGGACAACATAACACTACAGAGTGCTGAACTGGGTATAATGCTGGTTGTCCAGTAGTGTGGCGTTAAGCTGTGAAACCATTTGAGAAATGCCTGTCTGTGTCTGCTGCCTTTAATAACTACGGTCTGAGCTATTATAGTAAATGACGCTTTCAACAAACTAATAATATCCCATGATGGTATGTTAAAGGGATTTTATAGTGTAAGGAATACAAAGTTTTATTACTTGCACTATAGCTACATCTGCATGCCTCTCCTTCATGGATGGCCCTCCGCTTCCTCTGACGCCACTCGACTGTGTGGGGGTGGCTAAAGCGCATGCATGGCATTCACGTTTTTGTGAAACCATGACCAAATGGTTTTGCAAACATAATTATTCAGCATTCAAAACATGCCTTCTGTGTTTGGAACACAACATAAGTAAGTTGATTTTCATCATATAAGGGTTATTCCAACCAAAAACAGTGTTTTAGATTACACTAAAAAGTGGCTAAAATTGCTGATTAAATATCAGAATAAACGGTCTGCTCCTAGTATCCTCAATTGCTTATGATAGTGCAGTAAAGTGGCTGTCCGCACGGATCAGAGCTTAACTAGGTAGTAGAGCTCACTGCACCAACAGTGACTGCACATCGAAATAGACTTCCAGCAATCTCCAGCTCCTGTAGCTCTACTACCTAGTTAAGCTCTGATACGTGCAGACAGCCACTTTACTGCACTATCATAAGCAATAATAGTAGTAAGGAGCTGACAGTTTATTATGATATTTAATCAGCAATTTTAGCCACTTTTTAGTGTAATTGGTGAGCAGGGTTTTTGTACTCTCTGCTTCCTAGGCAGGATTTCTGGTGGGAGGCTGTATAGACCAGTGTTTAGGGATTTGCAGGCTTTATTTAAGGGGTGCCCTTGAAGGCACAAGCACTTAAGGACTTTGAGAATTACTCAGGAATTTCTCCACTATTGTCTTAAACCCACACTCACTATATATATTCCTGCATAGCGATATCAATTATGGTCAGAGACACCAACAGGTATACAGTTTACTTTTTATTGATAAAATAATACTCTGAGAACAGGATGTTATATACTACTTTGTACTTAAAACTGTAATAATTGTGCCGCCAGGAAAATTTATTGTACCGCTTCACCTTGCAGCGGGTTAATTTATCGGATTGAAATAATCCCTGCAATTACACTATCTCTGTACTAACGGAGACGAGCCAGGGCTAGTTATACTAATTAACGGTCTGACTTTAAGGACTCGATAATTGCTGCAGCCTATTACTATAGTGGAGTGACAGCAATCCTATATTTGTACACCAGTGCTCTGAGCTACTATTGTATCATGTATGGCAACCGTTGATACATTGCTTCTAACTTATTGCAACTTTACATTTGTTATCAAAAGAAGGGCTGTATGCACAGATACATACTTTTGCATTTATAAACTATTAGTGTTCTTAGTGTGTGCTCTGTATAATTGGTGAGCAGGGTTTTCGCATTCTGCTTCCTAGGCAGGATTTCTTGGAGGTTGTACAGACCAGTGTTTAGGGATTTGCAGGCTTTAGTTAAAGGACCACTATAGTGCCAGGAAAACATACTCGTTTTCCTGGCACTATAGTGCCCTGAGGGTGCCCACACCCTCAGGGACCCTCTCCCGCCTGGCTCTGGAAGGGGGAAAAGGGGTAAAAACTTACCTTTTTCCAGCGCTGGGCAGGGAGCTCTCCTCCTCCGATCCTCATCTCCTCCCATGCGGCTGAATGCGCATGTGCGGCAAGAGTTGCGCGCGCATTCAGCCGGTCATATAGGAAAGCATTATTAATGCTTTCCTATGGACGCTTGCGTGCTCTCACTGTGATTTTTCACAGTGAGAAGCACGCAAGCGCCTCTAGCGGCTGTCAAAGAGACAGCTGCTAGAGGAATTGGGGGAAGGCTTAACCCATTCATAAACATAGCAGTTTTTCTGAAACTGCTATGTTTATAAAAGAATGGATTAAGCCTAGCTGGACCTGGCACCCAGACCACTTCATTAAGCTGAAGTGGTCTGGGTGCCTAGAGTAGTCCTTTAAGGGGTGCCCTTAAAGACACAAGCACTTAGGGACTTTAAGAATTACTCAGGAATTTCTCCACTATTGTTGTTGTCTTAAAACCCACACTATCTCTGCGAGAGAGAGATATATATATATATATATATATATATATATCTATATCTCTATTTTTTTTTTGCATAGCGATATTAATAACCCATTCTGGTTCTCCCTCCCACACAACAATACATGGTCTGAGACACCAACAGGTATACAGTTTACTTTTTATTGACAAAACAATACTCTGAGAACAGGGTGTTATATACTGCTTTGTACTTGAGACTGTAATATTGTGCCACCAGGCAAACTATTGTAACGGTTCACTTATCGGATTGAAATAATCCCTGCAATTACACAATCTCCGTACTAACAGAGACGAGCTAGGACAAGTTTATACTAATTAGTGTTCTTTATGTGTTCTCTTGTGGTTTTACTTTTTTAGTATTAAAAGTTTTTATATCTAAAGTGGTACACACTATTTGTACCACTGACTGTCCCCCTCCCTTTTAAGGGATTTACACTCTTCAGGACACTCTACCATAATTCCTTTTCTCCTGTTTTTTGTCTCTTCTTGTTGTTGGTGCAAATATTATTGTACTAGGGGTTAACCCCCATTCGGGTGATTTTTCTACTTCGGTACCCCCTTACCCTTCCATTTTTTTTATATTTTTTTTTCTCCTAGTTTTTACTATGAATGCAATTTTATCTTTACTTTGCACATGTATTTGTTGGAGGAAAAAAGTAGAGTTGACATTTCCTCTTTTCTTAATTGGACATGAGAACTTGATTGACTCAGTCTGGAGTATAAGGGGTGTGTTTAAAGGATCAGAGAGTCTTGCTTGCTTGGTGCACATGTTAATGAATAAAAATGAAAAAAAAAAAGTGTTAGCAGTTTCTTATTTTTTAACACAATTTTTTCTTTTCTCCATTGTAGGCTTTAGAACTATATTGGTAATGCAGTGGTTGTGACGAGCATAATATGGGTAAGTTTGTATTTTATAGAATTAAACATTAACTGAATAGCTTACAAACTTACTTGCATGTATGCTTTTTGTCATTGAGTGGTTAAACAATAGTTATTTTCTATGTTTACTTTTCCAGATTTATTTAATTATAATTGTATTTGTTTTTGTACTGGCATAGATATATTTCTCAATGTCGACATTTATGCTTTATTTTTTTTAATTTTTTTTATCAGCAGATGATATACGAGAAATGGTATGGGAAAGTGAACAAAATTCCACATTTAAAGCACCTTGTAAAGATCCTGCACAAGATTCTTCCTGCACCTATGCTATCCAGGTTTGAATAATTTTCTTTTAAACCTGCTTTAATTTTTACATGTATATAGCTTCTGTTTGTGATAGCTTGAGAAACATATAGAGGCTCTGTGGCTTAAATAAATATACACAACTTGCCTTTTTACCGTAATCTGTTGAAAATGTTGGTGCTATAAAAATACACTGCTCAAAAAAAAAATAAAGGGAACACTTAAACAACACAATGTAACTCCAAGTCAATCACACGTCTCTGAAATCAAACTGTCCACTTAGGAAGCAACACTGAGTGACAATCAATTTCACATGCTGTTGTGCAAATGGGATAGACAACAGTGGAAATTATAGGCAATTGGCAAGACACCCCCAATAAAGTAGTGGTTTTGCAGGTGGTGACCACAGACCACTTCTCAGTTCCTATGCTTCCTGGCTGATGTTTTGGTCACTTTTGAATGCTGGCGGTGCTTTCACCGCGTGCTCTAGTGGTAGCATGAGACAGTCTACAACCCACAAAAGTGGCTCAGGTAGTGCAGCTCATCCAGGATGGCACATCAATGCGAGCTGTGGCAAGAAGGTTTGCTGTGTCTGTCAGCGTAGTGTCCAGAGCATGGAGGCGCTACCAGGAGAGAGGCCAGTACTTCAGGAGACATGGAGGAGGCCGTAGGAGGGCAACAACCCAGCAGCAGGACAGCTACCTCTGCCTTTGTGCAAGGAGGAACAGGAAGAGCGCTGCCAGAGCCCTGCAAAATGATCTCCAGCAGGCCACAAATGTGCATGTGTCTGCTCAAACGGTCAGAAACAGACACCCTGAGGGTGGTAGGAGGGCCCGACGTCCACAGGTGGGGGTTGTGCTTACAGCCCAACTCCGTGCAGGACGTTTGGCATTTTCCAGAGAACACCAAGATTGGCAAATTCGCCACTGGCGCCCTGTGCTCTTCATAGATGAAAGCGGGTTCAGACTGAGTACATGTGACAGTCTGGAGACACCGTGGAAAACGTTCTGCTGCATGCAACATCCTCCAGCATGACTGGTTTGGCAGTGGGTCAGTAATGGTGTGGGGTGGCATTTCTTTGGGGGGCCGCACAGCCCCCCATATGCTCGCCAGAGGTAGCCTGACTGCCAGTAGGTACTGAGATGAGATCCTCAGACCCCTTGTGAGACCATATGCTGGTGTGGTTGGCCCTGGGTTCCTCCTAATGCAAGACAATGCTAGACCTCATGTGGCTGGAATGTGTCAACAGTTCCTGCAAGACAAAGGCATTGATGCTATGGACTGGCCTGCCCGTTCCCCAGACCTGAATCCAGTTGATCACATCTGGGACATCATGTCTCGCTCCATCCACCAATGTCACGTTGCACCACAGACTGTCCAGGAGTTGGCAGATGTTTTAGTCCAGGTCTGGGAGGAGATCCCTCAGGAGACCATCCGCCACCTCATCAGGAGCATGCACAGGCGTTGTAGGGAGGTCATACAGGCACGTGGAGGCCACACAAACTACTGAGCCTCATTTTGACTTGTTTTAAGGACATTACACCAAAGTTGGATCAGCCTGTAGTGTGTTTTTCCACTTTAATTTTGAGTGTGACTCTAAATCCAGACCTCCATGGCTTGAAAAATTTGATTTCCATTTTTAAATTTTTGTGTGATTTTTGTTGTCTGCACTTTCAACTATGTAAAGAACAAAGTATTTCAGAAGAATATTTAATTCATTCAGATCTAGGATGTTTGTGTTCCCTTTATTTATTTTAAAGACAGGCCAACATAATACAATACATGCTTAACAGTGTTATGTCAGATATAATTATTAATATGTACAGCAACAACATGGGTCGATTCGTTATCGTTGTAGTCAATCTTGTGGGTTATGATGCTATTTATGATTGTACATAGTTTGCTCTACATCCCGTCATTATATACTCTGTATCGACCTTCTAGTGCTTATCGCGTCTTGATGTTTTTTGTTTTTTCCTCCATAAAATGAGTTGTAGTACGGTATTGAAAATGACATTTAGGCTTACGCAGAAGCTCAGGTACTTTCTAAGTATTGCAAGGTTACAGAATGAAGAAATGGTTGGTTAGTTAGTGAAAGTTGTAAATTCAATTGTATTTTCATTTCTTACAATGTGTCGATATTGGCACATGGAATCTGCAGCATCCTGTCTAGGAGGGTTTGCTATAGTATTGAATATCACCTCTATTCGTGTATTTAGATCTTTGGTAAACAAAAAAGCAGTGTACTATTTTAACCCCTTCAGAACCGGACTGTTTTTGCAATGTTTGTGCGTTAAGGACCAGAGCTATTTTAACATTTTTGTGGTGTTTGTGTTTAGCTTAATTTTCCGCTCTCTCTCTCTCATTTACTGTTCCGATACAAATTATATAATTTTATTTTTCAGGACAAAAAGGGCTTTCTTTACATACTATTTTTATCATGTCATATAATTTTAAAAAAATCATAAAATATGGTGAAAAATTAAAAAAAAAACAAAAAACTTTTTTTGACTTTTACTTAAAAAATCTTTTACTGATCTACAAAATCGAATGAAACTGCTAAATAGATTCAAAATGTTGTCCTTAGTTTAAAAACACCCAATGTTTGTGTTTTTTTTTTTTTGCTTTTATTTGCAAGTTATAGGGCTATAAGTACAAGTAGGAAATTGCTGTTTTTAAAATGTACCTTTTTCAAATGTATCAATAGTAACACTGTTATGTCATAAATCTGCATGTCCTATTTGGGACATTTTTGAAGCCGACCAATGTATTTTACCCCCATCAAACCATATATTTTTGAAAAGTAGACACCCTAGGGTATTTTACATGGTGGTATTTTAACACTTTCCATGCACTAATTCTACCACCAGGCTTTGTCAAACATTGAGTTAGTAATGTGTTTTTTTTTATTTTATTTTTTTTTCACACACATTGTACTTTAGGCATGAATTAACAGATCCTGTTATGTATCACTGCCAAACACCCCAATATGTGTTCAGCAAGATCTCTTGAATCCAGTGATACCACCCATGTATAGGCTTGTCTGGTTCTTTGGGGGCTAAAAGGCCACGTTTTGGCAAGTGCGCTTATCAGTTTCTCAACTTGGAATTTTGACATGTGATCTATTTTTGAAAAGTAGACAACCCAGGGTATTTTAAATGGTGGTATTTTGACACTTTTCATGCACTGAATTCTACCACCAGCCTTTGTCAAACTTTTGGGTAGTAATCTATTTTTTTTTTTTTTTTAAAGCTTTATTGGTCACACACACATTGTACTTTAGGCATGAATTAACAGATCCTGTTATGTGCCACTGCCCAATATGTTCAGCAACATCTCCCGAGTACAGTTATACCCCCCATGTTTAGGGTTGCTGGGTTGTTTGGGGGCCAAAAGGCAACAATCAGAACTTGTACATGTCAGTTTTTCAACTTGATATATAGGTATGCTTGGTCTATCTTCAGTTTGACATATTTTTGCACCCCCCAGTTAATGTTACCATCATGACAGTATATATAGTATATATTTTTATAAAGCAGACATCAAAGGTTATAGAAGATGGGGTGTTTTTGACTTCTTTCCCTCAACCATTTTGCCCCCAAAGAAAGTGTAGTGGTAATTTTTTAATTCTGGTTTTTATGCACACGTCATCTGGTTTTGGCCAGCTGGGTATGTGTTACTGCCAGAAAACTTGTTAGACCAAATGTGCAGGTAGCAAATGTACATTTAGCAGCAATCTTTAAACTGACTCCTACAAATAGAATCTAACTGGAGATTTGGGGGAATGAAACTGACTGACTAACAAAAAATGGCTGCTTTCCAAAGAAACAAAAAATAAAAATTCAGGAACACTTCTTACAACTTTTCTGTGTGGTACAGCTTGAAACAGGTTCCTATACACAGTCCTGGTTTCGAAGGGCAATCAGGACAGTGAAAAGGGGTGTTTGTCCTTTTCCCGTTTTTAAAACCAACCCGGCAACGTTTCTGGGGGCTTTTTTTTATTTATTTATTTTTTTATTTATTTTTTTTTAGCAGTTGGCGGTAACTTAAAAATAAAATGTCTGGACTCAGCTTGCACCGTTGTTGGAACTTGTCCATCTCCATAAATTGTTAAAGAAATTATTTTCAACTGAAATTGGAGAAAGGTGGTTTTCCCTGGATTTATAAAAAAAAAAAAAAAAGCAAAAATGAGTTGTGGGTTGCTATTTGCATCATATAGATAGCCACCTTTTTATACTATGCTTTGGTTTTTCGTAAAATAAGATATGGCTGCATCAGCTGATCAGCCAAATCAACACCCCCCATGTACTTATTATACGCCCTGATGCAAACCGGTTTGGACTCTTCTCTGCCCCGGACAGAGACGTCTGTCATGCGTTCGTCATAGTTGGTGGTTAGCATGTTGACATCCTTCCTGTCCCTAAATTTTTAGTGCAAGCACTTCAGCTTTGCGAAGTGCTTTACATTTGCCTTTTTTAAATTTTGCCTCTATGAGAGATCGTGGAAAATCTCTGGATTTTTTTTTGGCACTGCCGCAGGCCAGTGTCTGTAAACCATAAAGTGTTTTTTAAGCAGACGGACACTACTATAAAAATAATCCACAAGGGGTTTAGTAGGTCCCATACAAGTTTCCCACTTGTCCCCAGGGAGTCAGGACAGCCAGGAGGGTCCAGTTGACCATCTTTCCCCTCATATACACAAAAGGCAAACGTGTATCCACTTTCGCTCTCGACAGTTTTATGCCATACCTAGAGCACTTTGAGGGGATGTATTGTCTGAACCATAATCTCCCTTTGTATTTCATTAGAGATTCATCTATGGATAAATTTTGTTGGGGGATATAAACATCCGAAAATTTGTCCTGAAAATGGTCTAGCAGTGGGCGTATTTTATAAAGCCTATTGTATTGGGGGTGATCTCTAGGGTGACAGAGGGTATTGTCACTGAAATGTAAAAATCTCAGCAGTAACTCGTATCTGGCTCTAGGCATGGTTTGGGAGAATACTGGACTAGACATTATTGGGTTGGTGCTCCAGTGTGAGCAAATCGTTTTGCTTCTTTATAATCCCCAAGAGCATTGTAAGAGCCCAGAATTTTTTAAGCTCTGGGACATCTGTGGGTTGCCAGTCATGCTCCCTTACTGTATAGCTACCTGGATTGTTATCAATAAATTGGGTAGCATACAAGTTAGTCTAGGACGCAATCTCCTCCCAGATGGTATCCCCTAAAAATAGTTCTACATACTGCATTTGGGAGAAGCCGTCCACATTAACATTATTTTTTTTTCAATTCTTTATTTTTGCTCAATAGACACGAGTGTACATCAACTTTTGGGCTTACGCAGAAGCCAACTTGAAAATAAATTTTGGGAACATAATGCAGTTCAACAGATACAATATATGCCCATTCCTTAAAAAGCCGTTGGTACCTGCCGTCTACTGAGAGTTTTTATATTTTTATATAATAATTCCTTATTTTATTAAATTCTTTATTTTTGTTTTTTGAAATTCTTAATTTTCACAATAAACGAAACAGGTGTATATTCAATTTTGGGCTTATAAGGAAGCCATTTGAATAACCTAGCTTTATAAGGATATCCTTTCTGGTACCCGCAGTCTATTGAGGTATTTTATGTTTAAGTCAAAGACAGGCAGTTAAGTAGTTCAAGTAGTCTTTATGTTTCCTTATCAATCTAAGCTACATTATTCCTCCGACCGTGTGATCCTGCCTGGAAAAAGAAAACAAACGGAGAGAAGAGAAAAGAGATGGGGCAAGTAGAGCCCAGAGAGATAGAAAAGGGAGAGGGGAGTTGAGGGGATCGCAGCCACTTCATTGACAATCAAGTCACATTCAATAAGGGTGTTTATATCTTAGGTTCATTCCCATATGTGGGAGGCCCTCAGTCTCTACTCGTGCCCACTATACTATTGTCCCACGGTTCCCACGTTTTTTGGAATGTCGTGATGGTCCCTCTACCCTTGCCGTAAGATCGTCCATAATTCTACATTCTTTGATTCTGGAAATAACCCTGTGAATTTGGGCCCTCAGGTGTGAGCCAGATATCATCTTGTTGTCGGCTGTTCCCCATATGTGGGAGGCCCTCAGTCTCTACTCGAGCCCACTATACTATTGTCCCACGGTTCCCACGTTTTTTGGAATGTCGTAATGGTCCCTCTCACCCTTGCCGTTAGATCTTCCATAATTCTACATTCTTTGATTCTGGAAATAACCCCTGTGAATTCTGGGCCCTCAGGTGTTAGCCACGCTGTCGCAATTGCTCGGCATGCACACAAAGTAATCTTGTTACTAATTTCTGTTCCCTTTTGGTCCACCCGTCCACAGATCTATTCAACAAGTATATCCACGGATCCATTTTTAGGGGCCTTTCGAATGTCTGTCTTAACAGATCCTCCACGGATCTCCAAAATCCCCGTAGCTTCGGACATTCCCACCACATGTGGATGTATGATCCTCGGGCTCCACATCCCCTCCAACAATCGTCAGTCTCCCGTTTGTGCATTCTATGTAGTTTGATTGGGGTAGTATACCACCTAAACATAGTTTTCCATGCCTGCTCCTGGAGGGTGACACATATTGAGACTTTAGCGTTCACCTCCCATATCTCCTGCCATTCGACTCCCTCCAGAGTCTCCCCGAAGTCGGTCTCCCATTGGTCCGTGTATGACAATCTTCCCCATTCTCCATTTTCTTCACAGAGGTGTGCATATAATAGTGTGATCATCCCCTTGGGGGCTTCCCCGTCCGAACATAACCTCTCGTAGAAGGTGGGTTTCCCCAAGGCTGCTGTTTTAATGTGGTGTTTTTTAGCGAAATCCCGAATTTTAACGTACCTAAAGAAATCTGCGGGGGTTAGGTGATTACCTGATTGAAGATCTGCGAATTGTATAACCTCCCCATTTTGATAGAGCTGATGTAGCCGTTGTAGTCCCGTTCTTTCTATATTGCGAAAATCTCTGGGGGCCATGCCAGGTGGGAATTCTGTTTCTAAGAATCGGGGTTAAGGGGGAGGGGGATGATGCAAGCCCGTATTTGGTTTTACATGTGTCCCATATTCGAATCGAGTTGAGTATCGCCGGGCATGTTATCCGTATCGCCGGTCTGTGTTCCTTGGGGACCCATATCGTAAACTGGGGCACGTCGACACCCACCATCATAGACTCAATTTCTACCCACCTTCTCTCATCCAGTGTGGAGTGCCACATGGCTATCTGCGTTAATTGAGCCGCTAGATAGTAGAAGTAGAGATTCGGGAGGTCCAGGCCCCCTCTATCCTTACGTCTGTATAATATCTGTTTGGCAGAATAAGAGACATAGAATCTCCAAACAAAGTCTCCTATAGATCTTTGCAGGGGGATCAGTTGCGTCTTTGTGACTCTGGGCAGCGCCTGAAAGAGAAATAATATGCGTAGTCGTAATGGTCAAGAGGACGTCGTCAGCATAGGCTGACACTTTAAACTCTTTGTCTCCCACCCTAACACCTGCAATGTTCGGATGCCGGCGTATCGCCTGAAGCAAGGGCTCAAGCGCTAGTACAAAAAGAAAGGGAGAGAGTGGGCAGCCCCGTCTTTTCCCATTATGTAGTTTAAAAGGATGCAGTGGGGCTCCCGATATCTGTACCTGTGCCTGTACGTTGTGATACATCGCTCTTGTTATTGTTAAAAATTCGTAATGTGTCTTACGGAAGGGGCAGCTACTTCTAGTAAGAATTGCCACCCCGTTTCGTTTGCAGTGGGACCTGCCCTCGTATGAACCGGCATATGCGTGGTCTCTCAACCGAAACTTGGCCTGTTTTGGCAAGTGGGTCTCTTGGACAAACGCAATGTCCGATTTTCATTCTCTTCAGTTCTTTGAACAGGAGTCGACGCTTCTTTGGGGTGTTGAGGCCCTTAACATTTAGGGAAGTGATCTTAATCTCCATCTGGCGGAGCTTTTGGGGTTCTATATTTATTTCTCATGACCTTAGTCTCATCTTGCTCCCTGTTAGGGCTCTGAAAGAGAGCCGCTGCTAGCCCCACACCCCCACCACCCCTCAGAATAAGAGTAAAAAAGGAAGGGTAAGGAGAAGGAAAAGTAGAGAATAAGAACATCTGCACTCAGCCCGATGTACTGAAGTTCTGGTCTTACCGATTGCCAGAATATTGTGGGGAACATAGTCCCACTTCCCTGCCACGATCAACGTTGGGAGAAACAATGGGACCCTGAGCTCCTCCACTTAGGCGCCACTTATTATTTGCTTGGACCTCTATGTGGACCGATAAAGTAACAGCATTATCTAGCCTATTTGGTGCCCGTTCCCCTCTTTACAGTAGTTCTGGTTCTGCCCGGGGATCCCTAAACAAGTCTCTGCCCTTCATGGGCCCAGGAAGAGACTGAGACTGTCTGGTCTCATTACCCTGTGTTACCGGGGTCACCTCCCCTTGTGCATTCACCTCCTCCCCGCCGATATGGATCACGAACGCATTGGATCCTCTTTTTTTTTTTTTTTCTCTCTTTTTATTTTTATTTTTTCTCTTTTTATTTTTTTTTATTTTTTTTTTGCCTTCTATCCTCACGCCCCATCCAACCCCCATGCCCTTAAAAAGCCAATCCACCCCATCAACTTGTTGTTCATAACTTTCCGTTGTTGGTTGGGTGTCATAGATTGGGGGAGTATACAGATATATATTCGTGGCTATTTCCATTGTAACGTAATTAACCATATCTAATACCATAGGTAAGAGGGTTACACATAACCATAATGTGCGCAGATGCCTTATTAATTCGGGGATCTCAATACAGGACCTTGCCCGTTAGGAAAACCAAGAATGCCCGATCCCTTTACTCTAGGTCACCGAGGTCACCCCCCCGCCTCCCCGTTAACCGCCATAGGTTACCGTACAATATAAATCAATCAACGAAACAATAGTATTGCGGGCTATCAGTCTCGTTGCTTTCAGTACGGGTTGCTTAACGCATTGGGTCCTCTCGTCTCTATCGCCGTAAATTTCACGGGGCTTGCCACCATCTTTAAGAGTGCCGAAATGGGGGGTATATCTAGTGAGTAAAATGTTTGTCTGCAGATACCTTTTCTCTGGAAAGGCCTGTTGATTTAGCAATTTTAAGAAAACCTGCCCTGTAGAAACGACACTTGTAGATTTTGTATTATCAGATTCTAATTACTTTCTTTTGTGTTTTTCGTATAAGTTTAACTAGAAATATTGTATGTCTTTCAGTCCCGCTTTCTCTCCCTCGCATTCTTTTCCTTTTTTTTTTTTTCCTCCTTATATTTAAACTTAAGCAAGAACAGATGAATACTCATCTCAAATGGTCATATCAGTGGGACATTCGTATAATACACCGAAACTGTCCTGGGGTATCAATGTCCCTTAGTAAGGCCCCTACCACTGTCCACGCCCGAAAAAAGAAGGGAAGAGGTGTCGGTGTCCCATTTCCAAGGGCAGTTACAGTGGTGCCGTGAGGCAGCCGGGGACCTCCCAAGTCAGCCCCTCAGTCCTGAGGGAAAAAAGGCCGGCTTTAAGTGCCCCAAGAAAAAAAAAATAGACAGTACAAATGCACTGCTGTAACAGACCTGGCAGGGAAGTGGTTAAAAGGGAAAAAAAATTTAAATTCACTTTAGATACTGTATAAAGCTCTGGAACACTTCTGCTGCAACAAACTATCACGATCTTTCCCTCTCGTCTCACAAAACGCTAAAGAGGAGAGAAGGGGCAGAGATCACAAGTGAGTGTCTGTAACACCCACTTTGACAGCAGCTAATTGTGAGCGATCACGGATCGCTCACAAACCGCAATTGGCTGTTATCTGCCTGGGATGTCTGGCAGATAGTTAGTGTTATACTGGCGGGAGCGATCTTTGCTTCCTGCAGCCCGTTTTTCGCTATGACGTTCAGGACCGTCAGCGGTCCAAACGCACGTTTCACAGCTGACGGTCCTGAAGGGGTTAAAGGCACCCGGACCACTTCACTTCATCTCTAAGGAAGTGGTCTCTGGGTGCAGTGGTCATGTAATTTTATCACTGTAATGTAAAACATTGCTGTTTTAGTAGATACAGTAATGCCTACACTGCAGGGTTAAAGCGGCACTGTCACACTGTTGTACTTGGCTTTCTCATATTGTTTCCTCTTCTCTTCCTCTCTCCGAATATGTTCCTCTTCTTTATTTCTGATCTAGTTTTCTTTAAAACACAAGACAAAGTTGGGACTACTTTGCCATATGTATTTTTCCTACACTTGACTTTTTTTTTTTTTTTTTTACCAAAGGAGGAACTTAAATTAGCTGAACTTCCTGTGTCAAAGAAAGTACTCACCCATCTCCTTGACATAGGAAATGGAACGGACCTAAGCTCCTACTTTGGTAAAAATGTAAGTAAAATACATAAGACAAAGTAATCCCTACTTTGTCTTATGTTTTAAAGAAAAGAACAGATTCTGAGAGAGGAAGAAAAGAGGCAACAATAGGAGAAAGGTAAGTTTGGCGTGACAGTGCTGTTTTGAATACAACTCTGTTCCTTTTAATACATCATTTTATGAGAGTTCGTTTGTGTAAAAACGTGTGTGGTGTGTTTTTTTTTTTTTTTTTTTTTAAATAGCTATTTACCTATTTGGTTATGATTGCAGCATTGCCCTAGTACTAAATCCATCATTTGACGTTCTTTACTTTTACAATAGTTGTGGAAAACCCTGTGTAGTTTCTAGAGTAAGCTAAGCGTTTAAATTGTCTTAATCCAGGATATTATTTGTGTTTATATCGGTAATCTTACAGGATACATTCTTCCCATGCTTTTCATTTGCTAATGACTACAAAAATTTGTGTGTGCATAATCTTCGATATGTTTTGGTTAAATTTCTACATGTTACATTGTGCAGACCTGTTGCTTCAAGTTGACGTAAATTGGCAATTTAAAACTTATTTTTTTTGTCTTTCCTTCTTATCTAGTTCACTCCATTTCTACATAAACCCTTGGAGAGACCGGTAATGACTTCCCTTCCAAAATCAAATTTCTATAAAGGTAAGTTTTTTTTTTTTTTTTTTTTTTTTTTTTTTATATTTTTTGAATTTCTATGAATATCTGTTCTCTGTGACATTATTGATGATGCTGTTTTTGTTACATGCTGAAATGGGAAAAAAAAAGGTTCCAGTATTATATATTTTTTTTTTTTTGGTCATCTGATCTCAGCAGTAACGAGGGCTTTTTCTCAGCCATATTATATTTAGCTGTTTTCTGAGTCCAATAAACAAGTTTGGGATCTAGTATTGCTATACACACTAAAACTATTCTGACTCCCTAGCTTTACTCCAATTTATCCTTCTTTTGATTCAATAAAGTATTTGTATTTTGGATACATTTTGTACAATCTAGCTGTGGGTCTTAGGTTTATTTACCACACTAGGCTTATCTCTAAGCAAGTTATTTAACTGACAATATAAATTTTCTTTCCTTTTTTTTTTTAAACATACCTGTATAGAGTTGTCGCCCTTCCCCCCCTGTTTTGGGATGTACTCTCCTTTTGTTCTTGTATGTATGTTTTTTATGAAGAACTTTCAAAATTGAGGGATGACACATTGGATATAGTTCCAAACCCCATTGAACTGTGCACACTTAATTAAAGGACCACTCTAGGCACCCAGACCACTTCAGCTTAATGAAGTGGCCTGGGTGCCAGGTCCAGCTAGGCTTAACCCATTCTTTTATAAACATAGCAGTTTCAGAGAAACTGCTATGTTTATGAATGGGTTAAGCCTTCCCCCTAATCCTCTAGTGGCTGTCTCATTGACAGCCACTAGAGGCGCTTGCGTGCTTCTCACCGTGATTTTCACAGTGAGAGCACGCCAGCGTCCATAGGAAAGCATTATGAATGCTTTCCTATGTGACCGGCTGAATGCGCGCGCAGCTCTTGCCGCGCGTGCGCATTCAGCCCAGGAGGAGGAACGGAGGAGGATCGGAGGAGGAGAGCTCCCCGCCCAGTGCTGGAAAAAGGTAAGTTTTAACCCCTTTCCCGTTTCCAGAGCCGGGCGGGAGGGGGACCCTGAGGGTGGGGGCACCCTCAGGGCACTATAGTGCCAGGAAAACGAGTATGTGTTTTCCTGGCACTATAGTGGTCCTTTAAAGCAATAGCTTTTTTTTAACTACTGGATATTTTTAAGACTGCATTTGATTGTTTGTTTTATTTAGGCGTGTGTGTGACTAGATCTTAAATTCTTGGGAATAGGGGCCACAACTACTTCTGTGAAAATGTTGTTTTGCTTTTGCTATAGTCTGTTAAAAGGAACCGATTCACTGCTAGCATTGAGTGGTCAATTAAGAGTGCACATCTTCTAATTGGGTGTATTGTGACCTGGACATCCAGAGTCATGTGCTTCATATTACAGTTGTATCTGTTTATATCCTTGAAACATGCTTTGCTATGCAACTGCATACCTCCAGGTCTTTGCTATCTATTCATTGGTTCATAGCTGGAAGAAGCTAGTTCTATTTCCATGGTTGGATTAGAGGGGGAATACGAGTATCATGTGCACTCAAGCAAATAACTGGCATAACTGTAGTTCACACACAAGCCTATACTTCTGTGACCATCAGCTTAGTAATATATGTATAATGCCAGTTGTATGCAAATGTCTTAAAGCAAGCATGTCAAACTCAAAGGCTAGCACAGGCCAAATATACAAGGTTTAAGTTTGTGGGCTGCAAAAAAAAAACGCTTAAGAAATGTAGGTTTGTTTTAAAAAGTACAGTCGAAAAAAACAAAAAAACAGCATCTCAGTCCCCCCATGCTGTGCTGTTACAGCTTGGTTCTTTCCTCTGCAAAAGTAAATTACTTCAATACCCTCATAACCACACTCTCCCGCCGACCCAAACGGCTATATCACACTTTTAACTCTCTTCTTCGCCCTGTTGCTGCTGCTCCTCCTACCGACTTAAATGCCACAAACTTTTCAACTCACTTCACTGATAAGCTCTTTACAATCAGGGAAGAGATCTCTCATCTTTCTTCTTCCCCTTACAATATTTCCCCCAACATCACTCCTTCTGCTGTTCTATGTTCATTCACACCCGCTACAGCGGAGGAGGTTTCTGATCTGCTCCAGTCCTCCCGCCCCACCACCTGCTCCCTTGATCCTATTCCCTCACATCTCATCCGTTCTGTCTCCTTCTCTTGCTTTGCATCTCAATAAAATTCTCAATCTCTTCCTCTCTTCTGGCATATTTCCATTACCCTTCAAACATGCGACTGTAACCCGATTCCAAAAAAAAGCCCAACCTTGACCCTAACTCCCTGTCCAACTATCGCCTATCTCGCTACTGCCTTTTGCGCCAAGAGCCTTGAAACACTTGTGTATGTGAGATTGACATACTTCCTCGAGTCCAGTTCTCTGCTCGACCCACATCAGTCTGGTTTCCGCACTCTGTGGAAATGGCTCTAACCAAAGTATTAAACGATGATCTCGCTGCAAAATATCATGGTCACTTCTCTATCCTAATTTTCTTTGACCTTTCTGCTGCTTTTGATACTGTTGATCATAAACCGCTTCTTCTCATCCTCCGTAATCTTGGTCTACGAGTTATTGCTCTCTCCTGTTGCTCCTCGTACCTCACCCAGCACTCTTTTTTTAGTGTCTCTTTCTCTGCCTCTTCTTCCCAACCTCTCTGTTGGTGTCCCCCAAGGTTAAGTCCTTGGTCCACTACTGTTCTCGATCTATACTGCCTCCCTTAGTAAATTCATCAGCTCCTTTTGGCTTCCAATATCACTTCTATGCGGATGACACGCAAATCTATCTGTTCTTCCCTGATCTCTCCCAGCCCCTGTTGACTAGTATCTCTGACTACCTCTCTGCTATTTGTAACTGGATAGCTGCCCTCTTCCTTAAGTTCAACTTGTCCAAAACAGAACTTCTGGTCTTTCCTCCCTCAAGTGTTGCTACCCCTGTTTGTCTCACTCCACGTTAATGGTGCTACCATCAGCTCCACCATGCAGGCTTGCTCTTTGACTCCGACCTATCCTTCACCCCTCATGTCCAGTCGATCACCAAATCCTACCGCTTCCATCTTAAAAACATTGCGCACATCCGCCCCTACTTTACACCTGATGCGGCTAAGGTGCTGGTCCATGCCATTGTCCTCTCTCGTCTTGACTACTGTAATCTGCTTCTCAGTAGTCTTACATGATTCCAACTTGCCCCATTGCAGGCAGTCCCACTGCAGACAGATACTTGGACACCTATTGTGGCCATGTGAGGGGTCTATTCAGCAAACGTTATTTTACAGACTCAGCTGACTGTTTTAGTTATTATTGGCATTTATATAGCGCCAACAAATTCCGTAGTGCTTTACAATATTATTGGAGAGGGAGATTAAACAATAAATGGGACAATTACAAAAACTTACAGGCACAAGAACTAACAACCTTGAGGGTTCTCCTGCATTTGACTGTTTAAAATACTTTTAGTGGTTACTATTCACTAAACCAAATAACCGAATTGAGCAAATTGGATCCCTGGTAATTTCAAACAAATCTCACTCCTACAGTGAAATTCATTGCAAAATAGTTCAACCAAATGACAGTTTGCAACAGAACTTTGACTGTATTTACCTGCAAGAAAAAAATACATTTTAATGTGAATTTAAATTGTGATATATATATATTTTTTTTTTTTGTATTCTTTTATATTGTGTTTTTGTGTCTCCCTCTCAGAAATATCAAAAACTGGGAAGCCGATGACTGTGGACACAACAATGTTCACACCGTCATTTGACATTGTTAAAGCAAAGCAAAATGGCAATGGTCGCGCTTCGATATTTCCAGCACAAATCTCTGTCAATCAGAAACAAAGAGCAATTCGATGTATCCATCCAGATGCCAAAACTATGAGGTAAAAGCATGCACAGTTTGTATAGTATGGTTTAGTGGCTTTAATACATGTACCTGTTTGACATGTCTTTCTAGACATGCTATGCTTAATGGTAAAAACGTGATGGATACTTTTTGGGGGAATTACGTGTAATTGCTCATAGTTACCCATTCAAATTTTGTATTCTCTACATTGTTTTTGCTTGGTGACAAACTTTGCAACTGCCACCCATCTATCTCAAGATTTTACTTGGTTGGTAGATGTGATAAGCACCCAGAATACATCATGTCTATGAAGTGGTCTCTGTGTAGTGCCCCTGGCATTTTGCTTCCACAGTGTAATACATTGCCATTTGGGAAGTGCGGCAATGTTGGATTGCAGGGCTAAATAAACCTCTACTGGCTGTTACATTGACTGGCTGTCACTACATGGTACTTCTGGAGTGAGAACAGAGTCAAACTCTGTAGCTGACCTTTTATGTCCTCATACATTGCATCAAGATGTCAAATTTATCTTTGATGCTTCTCATAAAGAAACCTTGCATTCATTGATTGGCTGACCCTGGTACTTCTCATGCCCTTGTTATACACAATACTTCTCTATAAGAAGCATTGGGATGGAAAGTAGTCTGTAGATGTCTGCATTCTTGCAGGTTAAAAATATGGGTTTTCCTAGCACTATAGGTTTTTAAGGTCCCCCCTCTCCCACAGGATTGAAGGGGTTAAAACCCTTTCAGCCACTTGCCTGAATCAAGCGCCAATGTCCCTCGACTCTGGGTCAGGCTCTGCCCACGCTCAACTTCAACTTCCACGCGTATTAGACCTCCCCATAGGAAAGCATTATTCAATGCTTTTCCTATAGGGAAAATCTGACGCTTGAGGTACTTATGCAGAGCGTACAGTATCCTGTTAATCATTATGTTCTAATCTAGTACATTAACCTCAGATACATGTCATACAGAAGTCAATGTTTTCACCATTTCTTTACTTGTAGACAATCTGACGACCGTCAAATAATAAAGCAAAATGTAGATTGTGTTCTGACAGTTAATACTTAACCTTTCGTGGTAAAGGTAAACTAAATATTGGTGTATTTTTAAGAACTGCATTTCTGGTACACCTGTAATTTCAGGGTTCATTTAAAGTTTGTCTGTTTTTATGGTAATTTAAGCATTTTTATTTTATTAGTGGGCCTTCAAACTTGGTTTTTCCAAAAACAAATTCTGGTCTCTCGTCTGCTTTTGAAAAATCGTTTCCTATTAAGAGCGCTGCAGGTTCATCCTCAAGGAGTGGCACATGTCGACGTAGTCCAAAGAAAGTTCAAAGACGGTATCTCAGTACTGTAGAAGAGGTAAATGGGTAAAATGTGGTCTTTGTCCTCCTTTCATGTGATGTGTCCAATTTAAAAATACCGTTTTGCTTCCAATTGTCTATTGGATTGGTTACATCTGAGTTAACACAAAATATTGATTTGTAAACATTTTAAGCAAACATGTTTATCTCCTGTCAGATGTATTACACTTTTTTTTTTTTTTTAAACTTTAAAATACAGAGTGCATGCACTGGCTTTAACCATGTGTGGGAAGGGAGGCATGGAGTAAGGGTTGGGCAAAAGGGAGGGTTTTAAATATATTCTAAAAATAAAAGGCAAATTTTACTAAATGGGGTGGGGGGAGGAGACTTTGAAGCTTTCCCTTGCAGGTGTGATCCCAGTGCTGCCTGCAAATATAGAAGCTCATAATATCTGTCTCCAGCATGCAGGGTGTGCTGATGAGTGATGTCATTTTTGTACAGAAATCACACTGACTCCCAAATGCAATTTGGAGCTGCTGCTGTCATGTGTGCCAGGGGTGCAACCTCTGGCACAAACGTACAAATACATAGTTACATACATAGTTGCATAGCTGAAAAGAGACTTGCATCCATCACGTTCAGCCTTCCTTATATATGTTTTCGCTGTTGATCCAAAAGAAGGCAAAAAACCCAGTCTGAAGCGCTTCCAATTTTGCAACAAACTAGGAAAAAATTCCTTCTTGACCCCAAAATAGCAGTCAGATGTCTCCTTGGATCAAGCAGCTATTACCCCACTAATTAGAAATTATATCCCTGTATGTTATGTTTTTGCAAGTATTTATCCAATTGCAGTTTAAACATCTGTATAGACTCTGACAAAACCACCTCTTCAGGCAAATAATTCCAAATCCTTATTGCTCTTAATGTAAAAAAAACTTTTTTATGCCTTAGATGAAATCTCTTTTCTTCAAGCCTAAATGTGTGACCTTGTGTCCTATGTATAGGCCTGTTTGAATAGATTTCCAAATAATGGTTTGTATTGGCCCCGAATATATTTGTATAATGTTACCATATCCCCTCTCAGGTGCCGTTTTTCCAAACTAAAGAGATTTAAATTTTGTAACCTTTCTTCATAACTAACATGCTCCATTCCTTTTAACATTTTTGTAGCTCGTCTCTGCACTTTTTCTAGTGCCATATCATCTTTCTTTAGAACAGGTGCCCAAAATAGCACAGCATATTCAAGGTGTAGTCTTACCAGCGATTTATAAAGAGGCAAAATTATATTTTCGTCTCGAATTTATGCCCCTATTTATACATGACAAAACCTTACTGGCCTTTGCAACGGCAGATTGACATTGCATATTGCTGCCTAATTTGTTGTCTATAACAATTCCCAAATCCTTCTCGTGTGTGTGGTTATCCCTAGTTCACTACCATTTAGGGTGTAAATTGCTTGTGCATTCTTAACACCAACGTGCATAACTTTGCATTTCTCTACATTACATTTCATCTGCCATTTTAGTGCCCAGTCCCCCAATCTATCCAAATCCCTCTGCAGCAAGGCAATATCCTACTCACATTTTATTACTTTACAAAGTTTTGTGTCATCTGCAAACACTGATACATGGCTTTCAATGCCCATTTTAAGATAGTTTATTATTATTTAAGATGTTAAATAGAAGCGGTCCCAAAATAGAACCCTGAGGGACATCACTTACCACTTTTGTCCAGCTTGAAAATTTACCATTAATGACAACTCGTTGTACTCTATCCTTAAGCCAATGTTCAACCCAAGAACAAGAATATTCGTCTAGACCAATTTCTTTTAGTTTGAAGACTAACCTATTGTGAGGAACCGTATCAAATGCCTTGGCAAAATCCATATAGATCACATCCACTGCAACACCCTGATCTATACTTCTACTTCTTCGTAGAATGCAATTAGGTTAGTTTGCAGTTAGTTTGACATGACCTATGTTTCATAAAACCATGCTGATTATTGCTAATAACACAGTTCTTCCCAATGAATTCCTGAATATTATCCCTTAATAACCGTTCAGATAATTTCCCAGTCACATAAGTTAAGCGCACAGGTCTATAATTTCCAGGCAAGGATTTTGAACCCTTTTTAAATATAGGAACAACATTTGCCTTCCTCCAATCTTCCGGTACAATACCTGAAACAAAAGAATCTTGAAAAATTAAATACAGAGGTTCACTTATTTCCCCACTTGGCTCCTTAAGTACTCGTGGGTGTATACTGTCAGGCCCCGAAGCTTTATTTGCATAAATTTTCTTTAATAGCTGTAGCACCTTGTCTCGAGTTATCCAATCACAAGTTATCTGCAAGTTTGTTACAACAATAATTTGCTTATCTCTTGCCATAGAACCCTCATTAATATGTACTGAAGAAAGTTATTTAAAATTTCTGCCTTTTCCTGGTCTTCATTGACTAACAGACCCATCTCTGTTTTCAGTGTACCTACACTTTCATTTTTTTTAAATTTATTTTTAGAATTGATGTAATTAAAAAAAATGTTGGTGTTGGTTTTGCATTCTTTGGCTATCAATTTCTCATTTTCTAGTTTAGCCACTTTAATTGCCTTTTTACAAGTATTATTGGCTTCCTTATATCTTTTATATAGGATGCCTCTGGTTTTTTTTATTTTTTTATTTTTTTTTATTTTTTAATGCTTTAAATGCCCTTTTCTTATTTTTAATCTCTTGTTTTACTTCTCTACTAAGCCACATTGGTTTTAATTTGTTTCTTTTATATTTATTACCCAATGATACATACTGTGAAATGTACCTTACTAATATTTGTTTGAATGGTTTCCATTTTCCTCCGTGTTATCACTAAGGAGTTTATGCCAGTTGATATGTTGTAGAGCTGCCCTAATCTTATTAAAATTGGCTTTTTAAAAATTATACGTTTTATTATACCCCACATGCTTTTTTCTTTTTTGAGTTTATTTCAAAAATTAACATGTTGTGATCACTATTTCCCAAATGCTCCCCTACTTGAATTTTCGTTAAAAGATCAACATTTTGTTATAACGAGATCCAAACAAGCATCCTTTCTAGTTGGTGCTTGTACCAGTTGTCACATAAAGGTGTTAACACATTCAAAAAAACGGATTCCCCTTGCTGAAGTAATAGTCACTCTATCCCAATTTATGTCCGGGTAATTAAAATCTCCAATAATTAACGTGTTACCTTGATTTGCAGCTTTCCCAATTTGCTCTAACAGCAGTTCTTCCTCATTAATATTTACATTTGGTGGTTTATAACATATCCCAGCCAATAATTGATTTCCCTTTGTTTCCCCCAAGCAGATATCTATCCATAAAGCTTCTACATTTTCCTCGTCACACTCCACATGACTAAGATTTGACTAAGATCTGACTACTTTAACTCATGACTGACCTACAAACATACCCCACCACCCTTCTTGTTTTTCCTATCCTTCCTAAATAATGTGTACCCATTTAAGTTAACTGTCCAGTCATGTCTCATCCCACCATGTTTCTGTTATGCCTATTACATTATATTGTTTAGTGTATGCTATTGCCTCTAGTGAGTCATTTGTACTTTTTGTAAATTATCAATATTACATACCTCCTCTGTTCTGAGCTTCCCCTCCCCCATCTCCACCCACCTTTGTTGTGAGCTAAAGCCCATCTCATTTCTATCCTATCTCCATTTTCTAGATTGCTTTGACCCGCCCCCCCCTACTACTAGTTCAAAATCTCCTCCAACCTTTTAGCCATCCTATCCCCCAGCACAGCAGACCCTCTTCTGTTTAGGTGCAATCCATCACCACTATACATGTTATACCCAAGCACAAAATCAGCCCAGTGCTCTAAAAACCCCAAACCCTCTTTCCTGCACCAAGACTTCAGCCACGCACTGACCTCTATAATCTCCCGCTGCCTTTCTGCTGTAGCGCGCGGCACAGGTAATCTTTCTGAAAATATTACCTTGGAGGTCCTTTTCTTTAGCTTACTTCCTAGATCCATGAACTCACTCTTTAGGACCTTCCATTTTCCTCTGACTTTGTCACTGGTACCAATATGGACCATGACATCTGGGTCATCCCCAGCCCCTCCCAATATACAAATATCTCTGTGCAGCATTTCTTAGATGAAAAATAAAAATAAAAAATAAAATATGACTACCTCCAAAAACAGAGTTTTTTTTTATTTATTTTTTAAACCGATTCCCATAATCACCTTTTTTGTTTCCGGTCTCTTTGTTTTTCAGACTGTACGTGAGGAAGAAAAAGAGATCTATAGGCAACTACTACAGGTGGTGACTGGGAAAACGTATCTGTCCACAACCTCTATTTTTCCTCCTCAAACGTAAGTTTCTATCATCTTTAGAACTTGCATACTTTATAAACGTATGTTTATTGCATGTTTATTGAAACAGTATTGTTTTGTGGCAGATCTCGGTGTTTGAGTTCAAGCAACAGTATTTCAGAACAACCTGGTGCTTCAAGCCTCAGTTCCCTAGAACCTTATAGCCTGGATTTAGAAACGTCATACAAGCCCTCTTTAAGTTTTATACAGCCATCGACTCACGCTCTCGAACCATTGTTTAATAACACATCTGAAATTAAACTTAACAGTGAGGCTAGAATCCCTATTAATAAACAGCTCTGCAAGGAACAAAATCACACAAGTCCGTCACAATCTGAAGGTATGTAGTTTTTTATTTTTGTTTGTTTTTTGGCAACATGCAAAATTTTGAACATGCTTTGTTTTTTAACTTTTTATCTCGCCTTTTTCTTTGAAAGATGACCATACACACACTTTTTTTTGTACTGTAATCAGGGCTCACAATTTCCAAAAGCCATTTGACTACAAATTCTAAGCACTGTTGTAATGTTACACGAAGTTACGTTCTGATGTTTCAAATTTTAAAATGAACTCACATGACCATGTCATACAGTACCGTATTTTTCGCTCCATAAGACGCACTTTTTTTCCCCTCAAAAGTGAGGGGAAATGTCTGTGCGTCTTATGGAGCGAATGTGAAGAATTACTTACCTGTATTGGAGCGTGGGCCGGCTTCACAGCGCGCTCCGTGGTCCAGGAACTTCTATTTCAGGTTCCGGTTTCCGGCGGGACTGAAAGGAAGTGTGCACACTTCCTTTCAGTCCCGCCGGAAACCGGAACCTGAAATATTAGTTCCTGGACCGCGGAGCGCTCTGTGAAGCCGGCCCACGCTCCAAGACAGGTAAGTAATTATGGGACAAGGGGAGGGGGAGACACTATGGGACAAGGGGAGGGGAGACACTATGGGACAAGGGCAGGGGAGACATTATGGGACAAGGGCAGGGGAGACACTATGGGACAAGGGCAGGGGAGACACTATGGGACAAGGGGAGGGGAGACACTATGGGACAAGGGGAGGGGGAGACACTATGGGACAAGGGGAGGGGGGACACTATGGGACAAGGAGAGGGGGAGACACTATGGGACAAAGGGAGGGGGAGACACTATGGGACAAGGGGACGGGGAGACACTATGGGACAAGGAGAGGGGGAGACACTATGGGTAAAGGGCAGGGGGTACACTATGGGAGGGAAAGTGCACTATGGGACAATGGGAGGGGGGAACTATGGGAGGGAAAGTGCCCTATGGGACAATGGGAGGGGGGGACACTATGGGATCAGAACACTAATGGACAAGGGGAGGAGGGGTTAAAGAACACTATGGGACAGGGTAGGAGGGGTTAACAATCACTATGGGACAGAGGAAAGGGGGGTTAAAGATCATTATGGGACAGGAGAGGGGAGTGGGTGGTAAGGAACACTATGGGACAGGGGAGAAAAACAAATATTCTGAACAAACTGTCCCATGGTAAGAAACACTATGGAACAGTTTGTTCAGAATATTTTTTTTTCTGGGTTTCCTCCTCTAAAAACTAGGTGCGTCTTATGGTGAGGTGCGTCTTATGGAGCGAAAAATACGGTAATTCAGGCTTGTACATTCTTTACGATGTCTGAAACAAGCTTGTTTGTACACTTTTCAGGTTCAAGTTCAGATTTAGTCCTTGAAGATACTGTACCCAAAGAACAAAAATCTACTAGGTGAGTTTTCAGTACTTATTCTGACGTTGGTATATTTTAAGTGCAAGAGAAAGTTGATACTTTAGCTCTTAATACAAACTAATGCCTAGCAATATAGACATTGTCTATGTTAAATAGACCAAGTCTATATTGCTGGGCATTAGTTTGTATTAAAAGCTATTCTAGATGGGTGGAGCAGTCCTTTTTTATAACTCTATATAACATGTTTGTAAAAAAATTTAAGTTTTGATTAAGCTTAAAATGGCAATCTTAAATGTGTAAATATAAAAGGGTATATTTGGATACGAATTACGTTCTAGTGCTAATCTGACCCATGTTATATAATGGTAGCCCCACACAAGTTTGTGTGCTTTCATATTTTTTTTTTTTTTGTCAATGAATATCCTTATCATTCTACGTTTCTTTTTTTTTCTTTTTTTAGTCAATCAATTTTCCAGGCATTACTCTGGATAAAAGAAATGTAAGTAACACTTTTTTTTTTTTTCTTTTCTTAAATTGATGACTCATTCTTTTTGCTTGCTAATGTTCATTCCATGTTTATTAGCTCTAGCACCTATGACTCCAGAGCAAGAGAAAGAAGCAGACAAATAGAAAAAGAAAAAGCACGTGCTTTACAGTTACAGAAAGAGGTAATGTATGTGTAGGGGGCTACACAATAGGCCGTAGGGAAGAATGTTAATTTGGGTTAGTTCTTGCAAGAGGTTGAGTATTTTGACTGAAATTCAAAGACTCGAATGTATGAGCCTCTTTAGTAAATGCTTATCTTTATGGTTCAGGAAAAATCTGTTTATATGCTTTAAGGAAACATGGGATACTAAAACTAACCCATGTTAAGTAGATAGTTTTAAAATATGTAAAGTTTTTGCAAACACACAATTTGCAGAGTTTAGTCACATTACCCATTTCCTCCATTTATATATTTTAACCCCTTAAGGACCAAACTTCTGGAGTAAAAGGGAAACATGACATGTCACACATGTCATGTGTTCTTAAGGGGTTAAGGACACATGACACGTGTGACATGTCATGATTCCCTTTTATTCCAGAAATTTGGTCCTTAAGGGGTTAGTGAAAACCTGGAGCTATAAAAGTGGCCATTGCAGCAGGTTTTCAAAGCTCTCTACACATGGCAGCTAGAGAATGCAGGGATTATGGCTCAGAATTGCTTTACTAAGGACTTATTTTAGTGCAACTGTAAATGTAATATTTTTTTTTTTTTGCATTCTAATATACATAGCGATTGCGGGACCATTCTGTTCAAGAATCTGTAGACTTGCACCTAAGGGTGCCTCTTGAAAAGGAAATACCTGTGACTTTGCTTCCAAAAAAAGAAATTCAGGAAGAGGAGAATGAATTTCCTGAATTAACAGAGGTACGTTTATTAAACAAGATACCTACTTAATTTGCAGTGTGCACTAAACACTTTCTGCAGCTACTGTATTTAATAGTCTATACGACATGGTTAGTAGTCTGCCTTTTACAGTTCCTCTAAGCACCAAAACCTCTACTTTGACAACTTTTGACTGAAAATGTAAATTTGTATTTCTGACAAATGGCAATATTTACAGTTTGCCAGAAACATGCCTCTGACTGTCAAGCCCACTAGAGGCACTTCCTCCTTCAGATCCTTGAATGTTTGATAATGTTTAGTGTTATCACACACAGCATGATGCTGAATGCAGCTAATCCTTTTTATAGAAAAACATTGCTCTGTCTGTATGTGTCCTCTGCTTTGAAGAGGTATTCCTAACAGTTTAGTGTCCCTTGCTCTCCCTCCCCCGCTCCATCCTTAAAAGGATTAAAATCCTTTGAACACTTACCTGATTCCAGCGCTGATTTACCTCTGCGCTTGCATTTGGGGTTTTGCTTGATGCTGCATTTCCACATGCAAAGCGAGAGGACGTTCTCATTGTGATTCTGCTATATGGTACTCTTGAAAGGAATTTTTTATTTTAGATTACAGGCCCCCTTTAAAATGTATCTGTCTCAATCTCACTTTATACATCCAGTGCAGAACAAAACTCTCACCGCAGCTGAATCCTACTTGAATTAGTCACTGTACTCTAGGTTGTAAAGCAATCTTCAAAGTTATCGTACGTTTATTGGTGGTATCTGTCATTTTGAAATTATATGGTTTTTAATGTAACTTTTTCAATTCTTTATTTTTCATTGACAGAGGTTACATGTACAGAACAAATGTAAAAATAAACATATTTTATATCATTATAAGCATGATAAACAGTAACACTTGCAGCACCTTTAACGCTTCAATTTACCCTGATTTATGTCTGAGTGCGCCTGGACAATGCGCTCTGCTAGGTTCATTCCTCCTGTCCGTGTTATTTACACAATCAAGTTACCGCTTGTCAACATGTTTGTCCTTTCTAAGAGATTAACAGCGCTTCTTATATTCTGATCAAGTGAAATGAGACGGTACATCAACGTAGATGTTTCCCACTGGTTATGTCCCTGTTTGTTTACTTATGATCTGTGTCATGCGATATTTGTCGTAGAGACTTGGAGATTCTGCGTCTCTTTCCTTATTCTCTTTCTTATTCCAGTACTCAGTTGGTTCCTCCCCCTGAATTTGTTAACATTGAGGAGAAGAACAGGGGGGGGGGGGTGGAAATCTATGTCCCTCAGCACAGTGGGCTATCCTCCCATGGTGCCCATATTTTCTAAAACTTTTTATGGGTACCCCTAAGTCTTGCTGTGAGGTCGTCCATTAGGTGGACTTCCCGTATTCTGTTAAGGACCCCCCCCTATGGACGGTGTGGTAGGTTTAAGCCAATCTGAGGCCATCGCTCTCCTAGCTGCGAGGGTTATTTTGTGTATAAGTTTCTGTTCGTGTCTAGTCCACCTGTCTGTGGTCCTACTCAGGAGGTATATCCACGGGTCCAGAGGAGGGGCCTTGGCTAGTACCTGAGTTACCAAGTCTCTAACCTTTTGCCACAATTGTGCTATCTGTGGGCATGCCCACCACATGTGGACATACGTTCCCTTCATACCGCACCCTCTCCAGCACACATCTGTTTGTGTCTTTCATGTGGTATAGCTTGACCGGAGTTGTGTACCATTCTAGTATTGATTTAACCGCTTGTTCCTGTAATGTAACACATATAGAGGCTGTGTGTTTGGCCTCCCATATCTCCTGCCACTCTATTCCCTCTAATTCCTCACCTAGATCCCTCTCCCACTGTTCTGAACAGATGTGTGCGTATAGAGTCAAACACGTAGGCATATTCAATGTAACCTTTTTTTTTTTTTTTTTTTTAAAGCTGTTTTAGCCATAACCACTTATTTTGTTTATTAGGAAATGGATCGAGAAATAAAACGTGCATTTTTTGGTGGCAGTCAAGATCAAATTTTAAGTGAAGCTTTTCGTTTAGCAATTACCCGTAAAGACATTATGACACTGAATAATCTGAACTGGCTAAATGATGAGGTATGTATTTTATCTGTGTAGTATTGTATTTTGTGTGTGTTTGTGTTTTTTATTTTATTTTTTTGGGGTGGCGGCTGGGGAGGGGTCAAACTAAAATATTAAAATCCTAAGCTTTAAATTTTTCTGATTTAAACAGATCTTTATATTGCTTTATATCTTTCAATTTGTTTAAGTATCATAAAGTACAATCTGTCACTTTTCACTCTACATTTTTGTTCCCATGCAGATTATAAATTTCTATATGAATCTTTTGGTGGAAAGAAGCAAGAAAAAGGGTTTGCCCACGGTCCATGCATTCAACACATTCTTTTATCCCAAGTTGAAAAATGGCTATCAAGCTGTTAAAAGATGGACAAAAAAGGTGGACATATTCTCAATGAACATTATATTGGTTCCAGTTCACCTTGGAGTTCATTGGTGTTTAGCAGTAAGTAAAGAGATGCACTTATTTAAATGAAAAGTACATTGCGTTCTAGTTGTTAAACTGTTCTATATTGATTCAGTATGTTACTTTTTCTAATTGTGTTTCTGTCTAGTCTAATCTATAGGAGGAAATCAAAATATATATATATATATTTTTTTTTTTTTTTTCTCTCCCCTTTCAGGTGATAGATTTTAGGAAAAAGTCCATCACATATTATGATTCCATGGGTGGTTTAAATAATGAAGCTTGCAGAATATTATTGTAAGTACTCCTGATTTATAAACATTTGTTTATTTTAACAAAGTACTTATTACATTCACTTTGCTTTTAATAAAAGTTTTTCATAGAACATTGCAATTATTCATGATTCCAGAAATCAATTTGTAGAAATCTTCCATCTTGCCAGTTTTCAGTTGCTGCTTCAAATTCTGTAATCTCCTATAGTGAAATTCTGGCCTTCTGCTTGGTTATTGGATTTATTTACTAAACTCTGAATTGTAGTGAGTTGAAGGCAAAATGTAGTCAACAATAGATAATTAAGAAAAATTCTCCCACTCGGTTATAGTCAACAAATTTGCAATGCATGTTTTCATCCCTTGCAGTTTGGAGATTAGTTTACAAACCCTTAAGTGTTATATAAGTGTGTGTGTATGTCAATTTGTTCTTTTTTTTTTTTTCCTCCATACAGACATTACCTAAAACAAGAAAGCCTAGATAAAAAGGGAATATGTTTTGACACAAATGGTTGGACTCTGTCCTGCAAGAACAATCAGGTATGCTTTTGTGACATTTATACCTGTGTCTTTGTTATGCTTACTTAAATTTAATGCTTAAATATTATTTTTTAGGAAATCCCACAACAAATGAATGGGAGTGACTGTGGAATGTTTGCTTGCAAGTATGCAGACTACATTACCAAAGATAAGCCAATCACCTTTACCCAGGTAATTTTAAAGCATTGCTTGCGGTTATCTCCTTTTTGTTATAGTGCTGTGTGTTTTTTTTTTCTTTTTTCTTAATAGATATTAAAGTAATACATTTCTCTGTATAGCCCATTCTATTTATCTCTCTTCATCCAACCTGTTGGTCTTTGGGAAATTATCCAGCAAAACAAATATGAAAATGCTTCAATACAGTATAACAGATTTTCAGTTTTCTATGTTTATCCCCACTCCAATAATGCTATTTTATTTAAACGTTTTGTGTGCCTTCAGTGTGTTCCGAACTTCACCAAATGTCACTAGTCATTCAAGGGTCTTTGCTTACTTAAAGCTTTCCCTTACTTGTTTTGCCATCTTTCTCCTAGCATCCATCTTCAGTTCCTGTCAATTCCCTTAAGACAATGTCCAATCCTAGAATGTAATGCTTTTTTCCACATCATTGGCACTGAAAAGCAGATATAATACTGGGTTCAGTTAGATATTCTGTATCCAAGCAGTGTTTCAGAGGACCCCTGTTGACAGACGTTATGCTTAACAAGTTTATAATTGCTAAGATAATCAGATTCTCCTCCCCCCCCCCCCTTTTCTTTTTGATTGCAGCGTCACATGCCATACTTCAGAAAGAAAATGGTTTGGGAAATTCTTCATCAGAAATTGCTTTGAAATTTCTCTGGAATTAAGAGAATTCAGAAAGTAACCGGTGACAAGTGTGTCACAGTTCACTGAGCAGAACATGGACCAAGGAACATCAGCATATATATATATATATATTTTTTTTTTTTTTAACACAACACGTTTACTAATGTAAATGGTAAAAACTGTTATGGCTTCCTGCCATATTTTTTAATTATATTGCCAAACCTTTGACTTTTTTTTTTTTTGTAATTTCCTACATTAAATTCTGTCTGAAAATAGACCTATTTAACATAAATGCCTACTTATGTAATTTTTCAGATGGGATTTTCATTGAGTAAAATATATTTTCATTTTGAGCAGTGACTCTAACCGTAAATTCTCCTCAGACACGCCTATAAAGTTCAGTCACATTAACTGCAAAGGTGTATGTTAATAAGTTCCAGCACTATTTGCTCTGATAATGAGCATTCACTGTTTGTACTTGTATAATAGAATATATATATTTCCAACTACTGTTTTATAAAGTGTGTACTTAAGTGTGATATAACAAACCACTTTTTGATTTCTGTCTTTTCTATACTGGAATTTTTTTTTTGGGGGGGGGTGATGGGGATAAGATTTGAAGTACTAGTGCATAATTGTAATATAAAAGTACTTCTGTAAAATGAATTTTTTTTTTTTTTTTTTGATCAATGATTTAAGCTTCTAGCCTACCTCAATTCGCTTTAAAGGAAAACTCATTACAATATAATATTAATATGTAATTTCCCTTGTATCCCTTCTTAAGGAAAATCTACTTTTACTGCAACAAACTGGTCTGTTTGTGTCCCCCCCCTATCCCACCCTGTTCTCTGCGAACAGTATTTAGTGTGATCCTTTGTTAGATGCGCCACTTGACTGACTCAGGATTACTTCATTAATGAAATTCGCTCTGACTGAGCTTCCAAAGTTATCATTGAGAGCAGGGAAATGGGAAGCTCACCTCTGTATAGCCGTGATAACCTCAATCTTTCTACTTACTAAATGCTTCGCAACCACAGGTGTCTGCGACATGTTAAAAGTGCATTCATTGAGTGGAAATTGCATCTGCTGCAGTAAAAAATGATTTCATATATGTAAAAAAAAAAAACTTTTTAATGATGGTTTTCCTTTAAATACTCATGACAGCGGTGGACATTTACTGATTGCTAATTATCACAATTTAGTGGCCTGAGATGTTTGACTGTAGCAATGACTTGACCAGCAAGACTGACAGAGTAAAGAAATGAAAGGCGGAATAATATATTTTGGGGAGAAAAATATTTTTCTAATTGCTTTTTCTGCTTTTGCTTTTCAAGAAATATTTAATGTAGTTTTTCTATACAAAATTGTGTACAGTGAAGCTTTTTTCATGTTATTTACTTGCCTATTTTCTATTTAAATAAAATGTAAAACATTTGTGCACTTGATGTTGATTTACGATTAATACTTAATCATTCTTTCCACAATGACTTTTTGTTCGTACTGAAGAATTTACTCTCAAACTTTAAAGGGACACTATAGTCACCTGAACAACTTCAGCTTAATGAAGCAGTTTTGGTATTTAGAACATGCCCCTGCAGCCTCACTGCTCAATCCTCTGCCATTTAGGAGTTAAATCCCTTTGTTTATGAACCCTAGTCACACCTCCCAGCATGTGACTTGCACAGCCTTCCATAAACACTTCCTGTAAAGAGAGCCTTATTTAGGCTTTCTTTATTGCAAGTTCTGTTTAATTAAGACTTTCTTATCCCCTGCTATGTTAATAGCTTGCTAGACCCTGCAAGAGCCTCCTGTATGTGATTAAAGTTCAATTTAGAGATTGAGATACAATTATTTAAGGTAAATTACTCTGTTTGAAAGTGAAACCAGTTTTTTTTTCATGCAGGCTCTGTCAATCATAGCCAGGGGAGGTGTGACTAGGGCTGCATAAACAGAAACAAAGTGTTTTAACTTCTAAATGACAGTGAATTGAGCAGTGAAATTGCTTTATTTAGCTAAAGTAATTTAGGTGACTATAGTGTTCCTTTAAGGGCAATCACAACATATGTAATCCCAGAAAAAACTGATAGGGGTGCAATATAGAGAACCAATATAAAGAATATATAATAAAACTGCTTAATCATTTTGAGCCACTTTTGGAAAAAATAGAATGAATATATATATTTCTCATAGCATAATACTTTACAGCTATGTATAAAATAACCCATAGGAGACAATTGATAACTCACAATTTCCAGAGCCACTTATAATAGTCTGGCTATATAGCTTGAAGAAGGTGTATCAATGCTGCTCCAGATCTCCCTTTCCAGTCTTTCAGTTGTCAAAGGTCAGTACTCAGGAATAAAGGCAAGTATAACGACTTTAATGTAGCAAATAAATGAAAGAGAAAAAAAAGCTACATCAGATAAAAAAGCACAAATGAATAATAAAGAGTTTACTTACAGCACAACACGTTTTGGCTGTCATCTGCCTGATGGCTTTAAGAAATATATTCTGCTCTCTTTATTGATTTGGTTTCAAAGTAGTTTGTACAAGACCTTTTATGGGCATAAGGTCAGCGGCCATACAGTCTGCTCAGACATGTACTATGTCAGAACCATCTATCAAATCTCCTTTGAGGAAAAAAAACTTAAAAAATAAAACTTACCAGGAAAGGTTAAAGGATCTGAACATGTAAAGCTTGGAGGAAAGATGAGACAGGGGGGATATGATAGAAACATTTAAATATATAAAGGGAATCCACACAGTAAAGGAGGAGACTATATTTAAAAGAAGAAAAACTACCACAACAAGAGGACATAATCTTAAATTAGAGGGACAAAGGTTTAAAAATAATATCAGGAAGTATTACTTTACTGAGAGGGTAGTGGATGCATGGAATAGCCTTCCAGCTGAAGTGAGAGGTTAACACAGTAAAGGAGTTTAAGCATGCGTGGGATAGACATAAGGCTATCTTAGACTTAAGACAAGGCCAGGGAATAATTAAATGTATTTCGAAAATTGGGCAGACTAGATGGGCCGAATGGTTCTTATCTGCTGTCACATTCTATGTTTTTGAAGTTTCAGATTAAAGTTTGTACTCCTTCATATGAAAATTCTGCCTCTGAAGACTCCAGTGCTTCCTCACATGAGGAGAAACTGTTTTCCTGCGGACACTCTCCACAGGCTCATAAGAGAAATCCAGAGCCTTATGGAAACCTTCGGGGAAAGAAAATCCTTCATTGCGCTTTCCAAACTTTTGTTTTCCTTTTAAAGAAGAATCTGTCTATTAGAGTCGAATTTCCCGGTTGGGAAAAGAAAAACACTTATTGGTGAATCCTGCGGGCTTCAAATTTCTAAGGACAAAACAGCAGAATCTTTATTTAAAAAAACAAAAAAAAACTTTCTCACCTCTGCAGAGCAAAGCACTTATTGCAGGGGCATCTGTGGCTCTATCTCGAAGGTTCTGGTTTGAATCCATGGAATCTAAACTGGATCCTGTTTGTCTTCTACACAATATTAGAATGGTGTTTTTTTTTTTTTTTTTTGGGTGCAGATTCTTCTTCGGAATCCCTAAAACTCTTCGCAAAAGCTATGGGCCTGTCTAATGTGATCAGAAGGGCTATGTGGCTGACGATTTGGTTGAAAAACACTGAACTCCCTGTGTAACTTACTATTCGAGCAGGGAACATTTTTTTGGATTTCGGCTTGATGAGTTATGTAAACAAATGGCTGATGGGAAGAAATCTTTAGCTGAAGATCACAAAAAGAAACAATGGAATAAAAACAGATCTGCATGCAAAGGTTCTATCATGCCAAAGCATGAGTTGGCATTTGATATGTTATGAGTTGTTTTTGTAAACGTTGGTATAACATTTATTGTAGGCTTTGAGCTGTGTTTAAAAAAATAAAATAAAAAAATGTAATTCTTTATTTTTGTTGTGCATCGAGACTGCATGGATATCAGAGTTACAAGATTTGAAGCCACATAAGTTAATATCAAGCTCAGAATGTGATACAAACAAGATTAGCAAGCATTGCTAGTAAGCATATCATCACAGAGCACTAAAGGCAGATAATCACAGGCATAGGCTACTTGCCTCATGCTTAGTCTGAGTTGCTGGGAAGGTACCAGTCAATAAGACTGGAGGGTATAGTAAATCGGGAGGTGATAATGCAAACTAATAAGAAACAAAACCATGTTAAAGGGACACTATAGTCACCAGAACAACTGCAGCTTATTAAATTTGTTCTGGTGAGTAGAATCATTACCTGCAGGGTTTTTGCTGTAAACACTGTCTTTTCAGAAAAAATGCAGTGTTTACATTACAGCCTAGTGATAACTTCGCTGGCCACTCCTCAGATGGCTGCTAGAGATCCTTCCTGAGTCATGGCTGCCTAAAATGCATACATACATACATACATACATACATTAATTAATTATCTCCACCCTCTGCATGCAGACACTGAACTTTCCTCATAGAGATTCATTGATTCAATTCATCTCTATGAGGAGATGCTGATTGGCCAGGGCTGTGTTTGAATCATGCTGGCTCTGGCTCTGATCTGCCTCTTTGTCAGTCTCAGCCAATCCTATGGAGAAGCACTGTGATTCGATCAGGCTACCACTTCTGATGATGTCAGCAGACTGCTTGTTTTTTTTTTTTATAGGCAAACAGCATGCAGAGTTACAGCTTCTGGCTAGAATACAGTAAGATTTTGCTATATTTATGGAGGCATGAGGGGCCAAGGGGGGCTAGATGGTGATTTTAACACTATAGGGTCAGGAATACATGTTTGAGTTCCTGACCCTATAGTGATCCTTCAAATCTTAGCAGTGATAATCAGGATAACAAAAAATACAGTAACCACTGGAGCTCCAGGAAGCTTAGAGCCTCGATCTTGCTTAGTCAGTTTGAGCAGAAAGACTATAATGTATGTGTGTAATAAGATAAGTTAAATTGATCATGATAATAGCCTCTCAGGAGATTCTCTCTTCCCACTCTGACCTTCGGTGCCTCTGATGTGTAAGCTGGCAAAGTCCCAGCTTAGAGGTATGTACTGCTCAGACTGTTCCACCAGCCCCAGAGCTCAAGTCAGCATCCAATGCCTTCGGATCTGGTCCTCAAGTGGCAATCGGTATTCCCAAAGAGGCTCACCTCTCGCTGGCGAGCCCTCTCCTGGGAGCAGGGTGTGATGATGAGTTCCACTCCACAAGGCTCGTGGTCCTGGTAGGCAGATGCAGGACCTATACACAGACCTCGGTTGTTCAGTTTTGTGATGGGACAGCTTGGGTCAGAATAGGTAGCAGGATCTGTAATGAGCCCTCTTCCGTCGGCTAATTGGTGAGGCCGATGCTGGGGAGTCAGCCATTTTGGATAACCTGCTTCGGTGAGCTACTCACAGGCCCCTTTGAGGACAGCTTCAGAATGTTCCAGCAGGGACTGGGATAACCCCCACTGGTCCATAGGGGTGGAATGGGACCTAAGAGATGGTATTCAAATAGCCCCTGCTCTGCATTCAGGCACGAGAAAGAAGCAGCGGCCGTCCACTGCGCTCCTGGCTTGAGTAGGCCGCAAAATCTGCATTTCTTCTTAGGAGCTCCAAAGCACCAAGTTTAGGGGAAATCTGTAACTTACAGATCTGTAAGTATCTGTAATACTTTGGAAAGAATTCAGAGAAGTGCTACTAAACCTGTTCATGGATTACAGGATAAAACTCACAGGGAAAGGTTAAAGGATCTAAACATGTATAGCTTTGAGGAAAGACAAGACGGGGGAATATGATAGAAACATTTAAATACATAAAGGGAGTCAACACAGTTACGGAGGAGACTATATTTAAAAGAAGAAAAACTACTACAACAAGAGAACATAGTCTTAAATTAGAGGGGCAAAGGTTTAAAAATATCAGGAAGTATTAATTAACTGGGAGGGTAGTGGATGCATGGAAAAGCCTTTCAGCTGAAGTGGCAGAAGTTTACACAGTGAAGGAGTTTAAGCATGCGTGGGATAGGTATAAGGCTATCCTAGTTATAAGATAAGGCCAGGGACTAATGAGAGTATTTAGAAAATTGGGCAGACTAGATGGGCCGAATAGTTCTTATCTGCCATCACATTCTATGTTTTTATGTATGATTGTTAAAATAACTGTTGATTAAATTCTAGAGTAATTATCTGTAACTTTTGCATGTAACTCCTTTGGATATTAATCTAACTTTATGTTGCTATTAAGCTATTGATTATCATGTGTCTTGAAAATCTGTACTAATATTTGCTAAGATATTAACCCTACTGGTGGATAATTTCTAAGAGTGTTCTAGGAATTATCTTTATTGTGGTTATTGTTGACATAATTATTGTTATATTTTAGACTACTGTTATGTCTTAATATTCACTGATTATTGTCATGCATATTACATATTATTATGAATTACTTGTCACAATAAATGATATTTTTATAATCGTTTGTGATTAATGCGTGA